ACCCTGAATTACGATACTTACAACTGTCAGGGGCATGTCACTGACCGTTTATGTTGTTAATAAGTATATCGGTTAATCCAACAAAAAAGTAATGAAATGAAATATGACAGAAAAAACCCAATATTTTCGGACGGTTTTGGTCATTAATCGCCCTGCAAAAACCGAAAATCTATGAAGCACAACTTTTTTGTAAGGGTGAGGGGGCATTGACTCCTCTGACTATTACGCTCTAAGCCCTTTGTTCTTCTGTGAGATCAATGACCATTCGTCTACCCTTGGATCCACTCTGCGGGGGCATAGGATTTGCTTACCTATAACGAAAAAAACTAAATTATATAAAAATTATCATAAGAAAATGTGAAGAAGTACAGGTGCGTATTAGTGGCGTAACGACAAGTCATGTGGCCAGGAAATGTTGGAAAATATTGGGGCCCCTTATTTATCAGTAAAGTATCCGATTCTACCTAAATCAGGGGTGACGCCAGCGGGGGGGGGGGGGGGGGGGGGGGGGTGGAAAAGAGCCCATATCGGGGAGAGTTTCCCCCTCCCCCCGTCGGGAAAAAAAACCACAATTCGTAGGTTGAAAAGAAATGTAGGCCTATACGGTATGTATTTTCTACATATTAGTAGACTCCAAAATCCATTAATTAAGCCTTTGAAAATCCATATATTGTCAATTGTGATCACAAAAAGTGTAGTATTATTTTTCCAGATTTTTTTTTCAAAACAGTTAGAGTTCATTCATAAAACAACTCTTTACCGGGACTCAAACACGGGATCTTTCGCATACATCAACGTTATAATTTCAACAAAAATAAAAGTGAATTACAATAATCAAGTTTCGTGTAAATAGGCCTTACTCATACCTATTTATGTATAATTTTTAGTAGTTCTAGGGTTTTAGGCCTTACTTAATTATCCAAAACCCCTAACTAAAATATAAAAATGTCCACAGTATGTAAGTCAAGTTCAAATAACACTTTTAGTACTCGTACAGCTCAATCAAATATTACATTTGTCATTTTAATCGGCCCATTAGTTATTAGCATGATAACATCAGCCCTTCATGGAGTCTGGTGTGACCAGCGATGCGAATCAACTTATGCTAGGACTGATGGGGAATTATGCTAAAAACCGAAAGGTCCACTGATTAATCTCAGTATGTATTTATACTATCTTAAATTATGCTAAATTTTGAAACTTCAATAAGAGCCTCCCCCTTCCTGCCTAAATTGAAACACTATTCTTAATACTATTCTGGCCAGTGATGCCGCCAGGATCGACAGCATATCTAGGGAAGAGTGCGGGGGATGGAGAGTCCCCCTAAATACTTTTCCCCTCGCCCCACCATGGTTGGGGCTGAGGTAAGAAGATTTAAGGGTACGGTATGTCACCTATAGAAGGCTGGAAATGGCACTCTCAGACTTAAAATTTGAATGTAATTTTTCCCCAATTTTTTACAATTCTGAAAATTTTTGAGGATTCTGATCAGTTCTGATGATCCGATGATTGATGACATGGTGGTGGTACCAGTATAGAAGTGTATCAGTATTTTATTTGTCACCGAAACTGACCGTTTGTGTAGAATCGATTGAAAGTAGACAATGGCAAAAAATATCGCGTGACTATTTAACTATATAATCATCTAATATTTTGCACACACAAGTATATGCATAGATCGTATTTTGCGTCCGTGAATTTCATTAGCGTGAATACGGTAGGTAGTACTTACTTAATTATGAATACCGGTATAATGTATTGATCTAAGTTCAAATGAAGCATTATCAAACAATCATTCAATTATTCGTTGTTAGAGACAGATCCAGGGAGCACGGGGGAATAGAAATAGAGAAAGAAAGTGCAGAAAGAGGAGAGCGTGTTATCGTAGGCCTACTCCAAAAAAAAAAGCTATTTAAAAAAAAAAAATTAAATTCCATCAGTGTCTATGGTTTCAAGCATTTTCAAACAAAAACTCAACACCACCCTCGCTCTATTGACACTACAAAAGTTAGAGACGGACAAGAATTGATTTTCTGGATCACTTTTTGTTTGGGTTGTCTAATAGGCTTGAGAATGTTAATATAAAGACGGTTAGGTACCCAAATTGATTGATTATTTTAATAAAATATCTCTGAAACTAAAGGATTTGGGAGACTCTCATTAGGACCAGAAGTCGCAAGCATGAGAGCCACCCAGTAAATTATACAATTAATGAAAATGTGAAAAGAAAACAGAAAAATTATACACATTTTCCTTTTCCATTTTATGTTTTAGAAAGTAATGTAAAGCTTTTCTCTTCTAGAAAAAAAAATATTGAAAAGCATACTAATTTCCCCTTAATAAAATGACCATCGTTCTTTATGGTCCAATCGATTCCGTTATATTAATTATTTAATTGAATAACTCTGAGCTGTCGATGGTGCTGCATGCCTTTAACATCCGAATATTTGATTATATTAGTTAATCGATTTTAACATGTTATGTAATGTCTTTACATGTATTTCATAATATGCCAACAATGTTATTTAATTTTGTTTATTAATCATAAAATAGAAATATCAAAGTAAAATTAGAATAGTCATGTGATTAACACTGATGATGTTACAAAACGAAATATCTTTTAAGTGCTGTATGAACTAAAATGAAGTTTTTCTAAATTCCGAATATGTGTTAACCAGCGATTTATTATACTATGCCATTGTCATGATGTGTTTTAATAAACTATCTCTGAAACATGATAAGGCCAATCTGAATCAAGTTACCATCGTTCTTTATGGTCCAATCGATTCCGTTATAGGATATAGACCGGGAGCCCAGAAAATTTAATTAGGTGAAAAGAGACAAAAGGTTTGATGGTCTTGTCATGATAGTATAGGGTATTGCTGCCGGGGCACA